AAACCTGACCCCTGCTTCTCACCTATAATAAAGTTTGCACAATTCACATAAGATATTAAGTAAAAGATTATTATGCTTGGAACCTATGACAGAAGTCATCCTTACCTTTCAACATGGTCTTAAGAAAATAATAAAAAAATAATAAATGGTGTTGATCTTTTCCGTCCTCAAAGCATCATAGTGCTCTATTTCATCCTCAATTAGCTCCAAAGCTTCAAATATTTCTCTTCTTGAACATTGCATATGAGCACAGATATTTCAGCTTCTTCGATTGCAAGCAAAATAGAAGCACTTCTTCTATTCAACAGGTATTTTGTTGACTAAACCAACTATCTTCAAAGATGAGAAAAATACAACCAAGTTGTCTTTTTGCATCATCACCTGAAAAATATAGTGAAATAGGTTTGTCGACTATTAAAGACCCTCGACACAAGGGTACATGACTACCACCACCACACTTGTTATCAAGTTAGTGCTTATGCGAGTAAGAACAAGCCTGAAAAATTTTAAAAAGTTGACCAGTTCCACTCATGGTGAAATCACAAAATAGAGCAAAATTTTTCATAGAATACACAAATTTTGTGTTTATATATCACACTAGTAGTTTCATTATTCCTCATCGCTCTTAAATCCATGATATTATCTAAAATGTACTCTGATTGGGCCTGTGTCGCCTGATCCTCCTCTGCCCGGGATGTTCTTTGAAGTTTTGTCAGCTGGAGAGACCTTCCTTTCTTTTCAAAGCCAACACCATCAAAATATCCCGAAGAGAAAATAATCATTAAAAGGATTCTAGGTAACAAGATTAGAGTAATAAAACAAAGGATTTTATTCTTCTTAATACAAGCAGTGAGAAGTCCAACGGGTATGGATTCAAAAAGAAATTATTAATTATGGAATATAAAGAAAAAAGAAGAAACAAAATGATAAAAAGTGAAACTTCATCCAGAAAGGCATACCACCCATACACATTCAAAAAATGGTTGAATATATAATCAGTTCAGAAAACAACCAATACATAATCATATGGTTGAATGTGTAATTAGAAAATAAAAAGAAATATAACTTTCCTTCTTACATCCTCAATACTAATTGTCCCTGAATGAAGGGGCGTCAAAGTACCATATGAACACCAACCATATAGTTATGAAGATTTTCTAGTTTCAAATGTTGCTTGATAAACATTACTTCAGCCTCTATAGACTCATTCTCCTCCTCATGGCACCAACATAAAGAAGAATCGACCTCCAGCTCCTTATGAATCAAAGCAATCTCTTTTTCAAAGTTTGTTCTATGTTCCTAAAGCTTCAAGTTAATAAATAGCTTATTGTTTTCCAGTTTAACAACATGACCTCAGAACTCCACTAACTCACCCTCCAACTCGGTGAAATGATCATTTGACTTCCTTTGATCTACCAAAGAAGAAACAAGATTGATCGTGTAATTAGAGAATAGTAAGATCCCCTCGTGTGTTATAGTCCTCCTCCATAACTACATGAATTTCTCCAGCATGTCAGACTTCACCAGCTACGACATCACCCATTTCGGATTAGACTTCAGCGTCTCTCTTATTTATTCTAAGCTCTCTCACATCCTATCCCATTGACCCTTCTGAAAGTAATGATTAATGTAATCTCCAAAGAGAAAAGCTTTAGTTTGATAAGGTTGCATTACATTACCTTCAAAGAATAGAACATCATGATTAAGGTCGAATATTTTGCCACCAACAATAAATTCCTAGAAAATGTACCCCCCATCCACACCACACCAGATCCTCAAAAATCTCATCCCGACATGAAGTTTGACCTTCGAACTCACCTATAAAAAATTGAGTTCTAATCAATAGAAAAGATTTATAAAGTTCAAAATTAGAAAGGGTAAAAAGATACTCATCAAAAAAACTTTCATCTAAAAGGTTCACATCAACAACAAGCACAATGAAATGCCATTTTAACTCTTGTTACACACCAGAAAGAGGAGCTTCTATTGGATCATTCAAGTCAAGGGGTGTTTTTCTAACTAAACAAACCTCATGGATTCCTTTCTCCTCCAATATTTTGGCTTTCTTTTGAGGCTCTTCTTCCAATTTCAACTGTGACTCTTTGTTCGTCTGTAAACGAGGCTTATGCCCCCCTACGAGGATGAATCTTCTCCCCACGGGCAAACAAAACTCTCATATCTTGCAGAAGAACTTTGTTCTCCCTCAATTTAAAAAAAAGTCCAATGAAATAAACAATGATCCACTTTTGTTCCAATGCGACCCTGTAAAAATCCTAGAGGGAGTATAATAGTTTAAGCTTGAATAAATTCCATCGTTAATACCCTTTATGAACTCTAACTTGAGTTATGTACTTGTTTCTTAAAAAAGTTTGAACGACGTTAAAAGAAAGACATTTTGGTGCAGAATGTGCCTAAACTCACTTCTTTAGCCTGAAGTCACTTCCTCAAAACATGATTGCCCAAAGCAAATAAAAATAGGATTCAGAGGAGACCTCAACTTGTAGGATAAGTAATTTAGAATGGATTCATTCCATAGGAGAGCCACGAAACCAGAGAAAAGAGCTGTGAACTACCAGTAATAATACGTGAAAAGAAACCCCTGAATCCATTATTAAATCTCGGTGAGAAGTTGTATGGAAAAAAACCCCTAAATTCAATATTCAGTCATTAACAGAATTGTGAACTTCCAGCAATAGTGCATCATGTAATTCTTCAGCTACAACATTAGCGCTATCATCCTTCGTCTTCTTCGAATTTTTGCAGTTTTTTTTTTATGTGGTCAACTTTGTCACAATTCTAGCAGGTTATCTACTGACCAAGCTTTGACTTGCTCTTACTCCATGCTTTGATTTTGATCTTCTTTTGTTTGAGTTCCTGTTTCGTGATCTCTTTATAAAATCAACATTCAGTGTCAAACTCGAACCCGAGGTCACACCAGAATTTTTTTCAGCCAAAATGAAATCACGAATATCATTCTATTTCAACTTAGATTTACCTGCAGAATTACTAACTGTCATCCTCATGACTTCTCAATTATTTGACAATGAAGCCAACAGTATCAACGTACGTATCTCATCGTAAAAATCAGTTTCAACGGTCAACAATTAATTTGTGATGGTATTGAATAATTCATATGTTGAGCAACAGACACACCTTCCGACCATCTTCAAGTTGAATAAATTTTTCATCAAGTGTACATTGTTATTCGATTATGACTTTTCATACATATCTGATAAAGTCGTCATGAGATCTGCAGTAGTCCTTTTTTTGATGATGTTATGAGCCACAGATTTCGACAGAGTTAATCGAATAACACCCTGAACCTGTTGATCCAACAAATTTCACTCAGTCTCATCCATATTTTCTGGTTTCCTTCTCAGTAGCGGAAAATGAAGTTTCTTCTCATAGAGGTAGTTCTCTATTGGCATCCTTCAGTAACAAAAATCTGTGACTTTAAACTTCTCGATCATTGAAGTCATCACTTCATCATTGGCTATCGTTCTTTATTAGATCTGAAGCCACGGCTCTGATATTAATTGTTTTGAAAAACGACGATAATAAAAAGAAAAACTAGATCGAGAAAAAATCACAAAACAGAAACGTAGTGGAACACGCAGATTTATATGGTTCTACAAATTGTCTACGCCCACGAAGTTGCAGAGAATTTTATTAGCAGGAATTACATCGTTGATCGACTCGACAAATATAAGAAAGAACTCTCTCCTCTCTCTCTCTCCTCTCTCTCTTCACCTTCTCTCGCACTCTTCCTCTCCGAGAGGTCCAACTGAAGTCACCCAAAAAATGGGAGAAAAAGCGTTTTCCATATTTTGCACATAAAGCCACGCCATAAGAAAACTCCAATGAAGCAGTTGAGCTATGTCTTCATTTCCGGCTGCTGCCTTTTAAATCCATCCAAGTCTTCAGCCCATTAAGGTAGGAAAGGCCCATTTTGGAAAGGAATTAAGACTCAGATTTTTAAAACCGAAGAAGAGGGGGGAGATTAATTTAGGACAACAAATATTAAGCAATATTTGATATTACTTTCCTTAATTCATCTGCAGGGAAAGCAGGCGAATGAAGAAGGAAAGAATTAAATGCAATTTAATTAACTCTCATAGGGGCCAAAATTGCAAAATTGAAATAGTGGACCGGGCTCCACAATACTCAACATATTATGCATTTATAGCCCTTTTGGTTCACTTTGAGTTCTTCGGGTGGGCAGGGCAGACAATCTTGTAGATTCCACCGCCGCCAGTCATCGAAAATGGGTAGCGTCTCTTGAGAACGGTATAACTCGTTACATACGCCGTCTGCATTTTAAACTAAATATTATCATATTACTAATTGGAATTTTAAAAGTTTTTTTTTTCTTTTTTTAGCAATCTTAATACTCATTGTTCAATGAGGCGTTTATTTGGATTTTTATATAGTTCTGAAGTGAATTTTTGCTTCTGAAATATCAAATATATGACTGTGATAATTCAGTTTCAAATAAGATTATTACACATCGACAAAATAATCATTTATCAAGAAACAGTAGCCGCACAGTTGTTTTCAAACCGCAAAAAACAAACAACCAGCTAACTTATCAACAACAGCTTCCTAGGGCAGCTGAGCTGCGACATCTTATTGATAAGCTGCAGCTGCACCAAACAAGCCCTAAGAAGCTTGTTGTTCGTGAAGAGCTCGTGTTCGGCCCGTTAAATAGCTTGTATTTATTTCATTCATTAAACAAGTCAAACATAAAACTTTTCATTGTGCTCGATTTATAAAAGAGCCGACCATGAACAAAAATCTGTTTGTTTGTGTTCGGCTTGTTTTCATTTGAAATAATTAAATAATTAAGTAATAATGTTTATTTATATTTTTTATATTAGTTTTTTTATGTATTAAAAAAATAAATTTATTTATTTTATAGTATTAAAATGTAAATAAATAAAATTTGGGCGGTGTGTAGGTAAGTTTTATAAGAATAGAGTTGAGTCCTATCTACTTAATGCATGAATACATCAGAATTTGGTGTTAAGAATGCAAATAGCCTCAAATATAGAGTTGTTAATGATCCGGTTTTAATCCGAGCTGAGGTTTGCTCAAAAGCTGCTCGAAAAAATTTTGATCTAAAATTTTTGGCTCGTAGCCCAGTTCGTTTATTTCAACCAATCTCGATCCGTGTCAATCAGAATCCATTTTTGAGCAATTAACGATCTTCGAGCTAAATTTGTTAAAGTCACAGACATATGCTATTGACGATCTGATTTCGAGCATCGCTAGGGTCAACTTAAAATCGGCTCCAAAAAAATTGATACAAAATTTTAACTCATAGCTCGACTCTTTTATTTTAATTCTATCTCAATCCGAACAAAAATTTATACCAATTAATCATTTCGAGTTAAATTAACAGCCTTACTCACAGTGCCACAAGTCCACATGAATCCTCTGTTTAATACTTAGCCCCACATCGTTTGAGTTGGTAGGACTCCCGGTTAAAAATCCTATTTAAAAAGTTTCCTTTCGCAAGGCAATGTAGTGGGATGTACATTAAATTTTAAGGTTATAAATAGAAGGTTTTTTTTTTTTTTATTTCCAAATGAATGAGTTGAAATAAATTAAATATATAAATTTAAGGTGCTCAAAATTGAGCCGATTGTGAACTATCTTGAAATGAAGCACTTGAATCTCATTTCTTATTTAGGACAGAGCTGATGGAAAGATGGAAACAAGAGAGGGTGGTTTGGATCAGAATTTCCATGATGTGGGAGTGATGAAAAGGCCGAATTTTTCTCTCAGGTTCCCGTAGGGTGCGCTACGTCCGCTATCCAAGCAAAACACGTCATCTGGTCTTGTGGGTCCCATATTTACGTCATGATAAAGGAAAAATTTCACGTTAAGCCCGGCCCAACCCGACGTGGTAAATGTTACGTATAATCCCGCCTTTTTGGCGTATTCCTGCCTATTTTTGGCGTATTATTCCCTCAGAAACTTCTATTCTGCATTATTCAGTAGAAAAGAAGTTTTCAAAAAGGGTTTCTTTGTCTGAGCTAGGGTTTGGTTGCTGCATTTATGATGGAGTTATATTTCTCTTTTAATGAAGAGTTTGAGCACATGAATGACGAAATGAATGTCAACGTCTTTGAAACGGATGTAAGATTTCTTGCTTACTTCAACCGTTTTTCGTTTTTCCGAGAGTAACCCAAAAATAACCTAGGAATAACCTGCGCATAAACCCACCAGATCTCTAAAAAAAGTGAGATTTTGTGTGAATCTTCGATTATCGTTAGGTTATTTCATCTTTATTCTGTGTTCAAAGTTTATTATTTTCGGGTTGATTGAAGAAAACTCAATAACCCGAAAATAACCCAACAATAACCTAAGAATAACTTGTGCATAAACCCACCAGATCTATAAAAAAAGTGAGATTTTGTGTGAATCTTCGATTTTCGTTAGGTTATTTCATCATTATTCTGTGTTCAGGCTTATTTATTTTCGGGTTGATTGAAGAAAAACTCAATAGCCCGAGAATAACCTGTGGTTTGAGTTATTTATCTGACTATCTCTATTGTATACTTTAAATTTGTAGATATCTAGGGTAGAAACAGATTGCAATGATCCAATTGCTCGTAGCTTTCTTAATACTGTTGTCCGTAATGAGGAAGAGGCTTACAAACATTATTGTGCTTATGCACATTACGTTGGTTTTACTGTACGCAAAGACCACATAACTAACTGGGCTAAATCCAAGCAAATTAAGTCGAAGGATTATATTTGTGAAAAATCAGGTTATAAAAAGAGAATCTCAGCTAGCCACTACTGTGAAGTATAGAAAAACGGATACACGGACTGGCTGTCAAGCAATAGTTTGCTATGCTATTGATCTTGATGGCAACTGGACCATAAGGAAATTTGTTGAAAGTCATAACCACCCCTTGGCGGAATCCGGTGACAAGCACCTTCTACGTTCCAGTTGGAAGATTAGCGAGTTAAATGCAAATTTACTAAGATCAATGACAGGTTCTGGGATTAGAGCAGCTGATGCATTCAATTTTCTTGCTACAGAGGTTGGTGGTGTTGAAAACTTGGAATGCACCAGACAAGATTCATACAACTTCATTCAAAGGAATAAAAGAAGCAGAATTGAATAGGGCGATGCCAACTCTCTCTTACAATTATTCATGGAGCGCCAAAATGAAGTTAGCATGTTTGCATGGGATTTCCAAAGTGATGACGAGGGCAGACTTACAAGCTTTTTCTGGAGTGATGGATCTTGCAGACTAGATTATGATTGTTTTGGAGATGTCATCATTTTCGACACTAGCTACCGTTTGAATAAGTATAATTTATGATGTGCTCCTTTCGTTGGGATTAACCACCATCGGTAAAACGTTCTATTCGGAGTTGGTTTTTTATCTGACGAGACGATAGAATCGTTCAAGTGGTTATTCAAAACCTTCATTCGTATAATAGATGATAAGTATCCAATTTCTAGTAATAACCTACTCATAACTTAAAAATAACCTACGCATTACTTCAAAATTAACAAATCAATACACTAAAAATAACGTACAAATAACCTACGAATAACCTGACATAACCTAAAAATATCCTATGAATAACCTATGAATAACCTGCGCATAAACCTGCAAATAACATAAAAATAACCCAGGAATAACCTAGGAATAACCTAAAATTAACTTAAAAATATCCTCAAAATCAGCCAGGAATAACCTACTAATAACCCAACAATAACATAAAAAAACCTACGCATTACTTCAAAATTAGCAAAACAATACACTAAAAATAACTTACAAATAACCTACGGATAACCTGACATAACTTAAAAATACCCTAGGGAATAACCTATGAATATCCTGCGCATAAACCTACAAATAACTTAAAAAAAACCGAGGAATAACCTAGGAATAACTTAAAAATAACTTAAAAATATCCTTAAAATCAGCCAAAAATAACCTAGTAATAACCTACTCATAACTTAAAAATAACCAACGCATTACTTCAAAATTAACAAAACAATACACTAAAAATAACCTAGGAATAACTTGAGAATAAACTAAAAATAACCCACGAGTTAACTTAAAAATAACCCAAGAATAACCTACGAATAATCTGAAAAATAACCTAAAAATAACCTAAAAATAACCCAGGTTTAACCAACGAATAAGATACGCCTAACTTACAAATAACCTACGAATAATTTAAAAATAACACATGAATAACATGGAATAGGTGTCAATAAGTATTACGCTTCGGAGTAACTCAAGAATAACCCAATAATAATCAAACTAATAACCTAAAAATAACTTGAGAATAAAACGATGACAAATACCAGGACAAGTTTTCCCCTTCCATGCCCTCCTTCATCCTCTTCGCCTCCTTCTTATTCCTCTGCTTCTTTGACTTCATTGGCTGCTCAAACTCTGTCTTCTCAGTCTCTTTTGATACTGTTCATGAGCTCTCTTCAGCCTGCGCATACTCCGGATCATCAAACGCCATCGTCTCACGGCTTTGAAGTTAGCGAACGAGGGAAATGTAAAACCCTAGCAGAGCGAGTGGCGAAAACATAGAAGAAAAACCACCGGAGAGTATTTTCGAATCGTCTTCCTCGACATTCTAAAATGCGGGGTACTCGAATAGACGCGGGCTTGTACATCGGGTCGGGTCGACCACATTTTCCATGCTGCAAAATTTTATTGGTCAGCGTACCAGGTGGACCGTCAGGTCTCCTGACCAAAAAAGCGCTCCTCCCTCACACCTACAGCATATACAAAATAATTAAAATAAAAAAAATCTCCCTCTTACTCCCACTCTTCTTCCTCCTATAAAAACATCACCCTCTCTTCTCTACAACTACAACAACAACCCACTACATCACCTCCTTGCACTCCATTCCTTTTGCACTACACACAAAAAATAGCAGCTCTCCCATCCCCTCCATTGTCAAAAAACGACGACGTCGCCGGAAAAGTCGAAACCGAGCTAAATTCCGGCGAACCTCCGACCCGACGTAAAAATCACGCCAAATCGACGC